GGGTAGTGAATTTACAGCTGTTGGCGGATTTGGGGGGGCCTTTGGTTGTCAAAATAAATACCCCTCCCTACCCACACACAGATTTGGCGGGTTTCATTTCTTTAGCTGCAAGTCAAATTTTTTTGTACAAGAAAAAGTGTATTTTCCAGGTACTATCACGCACACAAGCAGCCAAGTACTACTCTAAAGCCATAAAGCAATTATGGCATCGGAAACTGCAGCTACTAAGTGGCTACAGTGAATTTATTGTAAATCTATTCTAATGTGAATCTATTCTAATGTAAATCTATTCTAAAAAGCAAACATCTACACCATTCATTCATATGATTTCAAAATATATGTTTGTCCTGATTTACATGCGTTTGTGTAGCATACACAGGTGATCAAACAATAGCTTAAAATGAAGTCTTACTCTTGTATATTGTGGGGGGGTGTATAGGTTTGTGGGGGGCTGTGGGCATGTGGGTATGTGGGGTGTGAGTGTGTATGGGGTTTGTGGGGCCTTATGTGTTGGGGGAGGGTGGCTGGGGCATGTGAGGGGGTGTGGGGGTCTACATGTATGGCAGTGCAAGGGGGAGTGTGGGTGCATGTGTTTGGTGGGGTGTGCATGTGGGACTCGCCCTATGAACACATCCACACGCTGTCCCTGCCTGCACATACACACACACTCTGTCCCTGCCTACACACACACTGTCCCTGCCAATACACACACTCTTCCCCTGCCCGCACACACATACACACATACTGGTGCAGCCCCATGCTCCCCAATCCAGTGATGCAGCCAGGAGCCATGTGCTGCTACAGCAGAACTGAGGCAGGAAGGGAGTGAAATAGCTGGGGGTAGGGCAGGGCTGGGCTGCTCAGTCCTGCTGAGGGCTCCCCCTTGGTCCTACTGCCCCTGGCTCCTATCAGCTATGACAGGCAGCCAGGAGCAAATAAATATTCATTTACTAATTTTTTTAAGGGCCCTGTGGGCTAGATAGAATGGCCTGGTAGCCCAGATCCAGCCTGTGGGTTGTATTTTGCCTGTCTCTGTTCTAGTCCCTGCTATCCAAGGCTAATTCATTTTTAACCAATGTCCATCTAACATAAATTACACCAACACTCCTGATTGAGATAGGTCTCTTGGCTGGTCTTCCACTTCAAGGACAAGTACTCTAACCAGTAGGTCTCTTAAACAACAGGTAGACAGCAGCAGTAGTATCACCACCAGCTGTGCTTTTAAGTGAGAGCGTCTGTTTGTGCTGAAATCAGTGCTGTCAGGGTGTGTTAGGCACTATCTCTGAATACAAGCCAGATCAGGTTTCTCTAGGGAATCTAAGCCACATCTATACAAGCTTACTGTGCCATGCATCATGCATTCATGCCGTGAACCAGATTATATAGCTCTACAATGCCTGGCTACTGATCTAGAAGTGTTCACAGGATACTGTGGGCCAGCTAGTTGGCAGTAACTGTCAGTGGTGCTAATTATCTTGCCCACAGCACAGGAGAGTGCAACTACACTACTTCTAGTTACCTGTATGGAACAGTGCAACTTACTACCCATCACAGTGAGTTTACAGTGTAAGAATCCCTCATATGCAAGGATGCTGAGTGTTTGAATCCCAAATAAACCTAAGGTGGGGTTTAGACATTTATATTCCATCTAGATAACAGTGTTACTACCCACTTTGTGTCCTCCGTTGGAGGGAATGAAAGGATCAGGGAATCAAAGAAAAGTTATTGAGGACCAGGTATAATTGAACCTTTATTTGAAGAACGTAACAATGGCTCTGTTATCAGTAAATCATCAGGCTGCAGCTCACAGCCTGAAAGGGGGCCAGCAAGGAGGTATTGGTTGCAGTCTGATCTCTCTTCTTTTTGGGTACCAGCTCCCCAAAGAATTCCCATGCTTGTCAGGTATATGAGCTTAGTGCTGAACATTATTTACATAATGCAACAGAAACATAATGGTGCAATTAAGGTCCAAACCCTATCCAACATAACATAACATAACATAACATAACATACTAGTCTAACTAGTCTATAACATAACATACAGGTCTAAGGGAACCCATAAATCAAAACCTTCTTAAAAGAGAAAACTAAGTTTTAACACCTTAAAAGATACAGGTAAAAGTCCAGCAGCAGGGTGTGGGCTACCCAGTTTATTGTACCAAATAGAGCAAATACAATTGCTTGACCCTGGGACAGGTTTTATGTGTGTGTGCCTGATGTAAAGAACTGGCTATGAGAGAACAAGCATGTTCTCTCAGGGCTAGGGTGGCAGAACTGGAACAGCTATGGGAGGTAGAGACATTTATAGATGAGACTTTCATCTCCCATGCTGCTGAGGAGGATGAGTGCCTCAGGGATGGAGGGCATCAAGCTGGGAAGGAAGGAAACTGTCCCTGAGATTGGACCCACATTCCAGCTGATATGACAGTGTCTTCTTGCACCGAAAATACTCCTCCAAGGGAAGGAATCCTGCAGGTGGTGGTAATAGGTGATTTGATTATTTGGCATATAGCTAGCGGGGTTTGTGATGTCCAAGAAGACCACATGATTACTTGTCTGCTGGGTGCAAAAGTAGTGGACCTCATAAGATGTATACATAGGATGCTGGGGAGGGCTGAGGAGGAGCCAGTGATTGTGGTCCATGTAGATACCAATGTTGTTGACAGGGGTAGCAGAGACAGCCTGGAAGCTAAACTTAGGCTGCTAGGTAGAAAGTTGAAGACCAGGACCTCCATGGCAGCATTATCTGAAACACTTCCAGTGCCACATGCAGGGCCAGGTAAACAGGCAGAGCTCCAGAGTCTCAATGCATGGCTGAAATGATGGTGTAGGGAGGAAGTGTTTAGATGTATTAGGAGTTGTGCCTTTTGAAACAGGGGGAGCATGTAAGAAGGAATGGTCTCCACTTCAGCCAAAATGGTACCAAACTGCTGGTATGTAACACTGAAAGGGTTGTAGAGCAGTCTTAAAACTAAAAACAGGGAGAAAATCACAGGTATGGAACAGCACAGATTGGACTGACACCCTATAAGGGTGAAACCATAAAAAATGGGATAAGAAACAGGGAGAAGACAAGCACAAGCAAATACTTTTAATTATTAAAAAGTCAAACAGAAGTAGCCAACCAGGCAACAATAAAAAGAATGCCTGCTTTTATACTAATCCTAGAAGTCTAAGATCAAAAGTGGGGGAACTTGAATGCTTAGCAGTAAATAATTATATTGATGTAACAGGTATCTGTGAAACATGGTGGAATGAAGAAAGCCAAAGCAATTCTGTAAATCAGGATACATACTATACAGGAATGATAGAGTAGGTCATATGAGGGGGTGACACTCTATATCAAAAACTGCATCAAAATAAATAGGGAAGGTTTCTCAACTAATAAAAGAGGTGCCATAGAATCTCTGTGGATAGAAATTCCAGGTTTCAATAGGGGGAAAAAACTACACCTGGGGATATACTATTGACCCCCCAGACCAGGATTGCAGCAGGGAACTATAAATGCTAAGGGAAATGAGATAGGCTGCAACAGCAGAAAACAGTAATAATGGGGGGACTTCAACTATCCACAAATAAACTGGCTGGGATGCAGTAACTGAATTTCTTGACATTTTAGACCAGGGGCGGGGAATAATTTTGGGCAGAGGGCCACTTACTGAGTTTTGGCAAGCCATCAAGGGCCGCATGACAGGCAGCCCAGAGCAGATAAGTGTTAATTTTCTAAATTTTTTAGAAGCCCCGTGGACCGGATAAAATGTCCTGGTAGGCCACATCTGGCCCACAGGCTGCATTTTGCTCACCCTGTTATAGACTATCTCCTGGAGCAATTAGTCCTGAAACCTACAGAGAAAAGGCATTCTTGACCTAGGCTAAGCAGCTCACAGGATTTGGTGTAAAGGGTAAGTGTTACTATTCCACTGTGGAATAATGACCACAACGCAATTGGCTTTGACATCCATATTGGAGGGGAGATGAAACAAAAATCTACCATGGTAGCCTTTAACATTAAAAAGGGACACTATAGCAAAATGCAGAAGCTAGTTAGAAGTTAAAATGGGGCTCCTAAGGAAGTGAAGAAGTTGCAAGCAGCATGGGAACTACTTAAGAACATCATGCTGGAGGTACATAGCAAATGCGTACTGAAAATAAATAAATAAATAAAGGGAAATAGACCCCTCCACAATAAAAAAAGAAAAGAAAAGAAAAGCAGACAATGGCTTAAGGGCAGATTTGCGGAGGCAATAAGCAGAAAAAAAAATGGTTCTTTCAAAAAGTGGAAGTAAAATCCTAATGAGGAAAATAAAAATGAGCATAAATTCTGGCAAATCAAATGTAAAACTGTAATAAGACAAGCTAATAAAGAATTTGAGGAGAAGCTTGCTTGTAAGGCAAAAGGTGACAATCAAAAATTCTTCAATATATCTAGAAGGCCAAGACCTGCTAGGGAGTCAGTTGAGCCTTTGGATGATCAGGGTGTAAAAGAGGTGCTAAAACAGAATAGGGCCATTTCTGAGAAACAAAATACATTCTTTCCATCTGTCTTCACTGTGAAAGATGTTAGGGAAATTCTGTTACCAGATCCACTCCTCTCAGGAGGCAAGTCAGTTCATCATTAGATGAACATGACTTGCTGTGGAGGAATCAATACAGCTTTGTCAAAGGGAAATCATGCTTCACCAACCTACTAAAGTACTTTGAGGGTGTCAATAAGCAGGTGGATCAGGATGGTCCAGTTGACGTAGTATATTTTTACTTCCAAAATGCCTTTGACAAGGTCCCTCATCAGAGACTCTTAGCTAAATTAGGTAGTCATGGGATAACAGGGAACATCCACTTGTGGATTAGAAATTTTTTTAAGGAAAGGAGTAAAAGTGATTTTAAATGGTCAATTTTCAGGATGGAAAGAAGTAAACAACAGGGTCCCCCAAAGGTCTGTGTTGGGATAAGTGCTGTTTAACATACTCATGTATGATCTGGAAAAGGGAGTGAATATTTGGACCACAAGGTGGTAAAATTTGTGGATGAGACAAAGTTATTCAAAGTGGTAAAGACCAAGAAATTACAGAAAGATCTTGCCTGATTGACTGAATGGGCAAATACTTGGCATATGAAATCCAATGTAAGTACATGTAAAGTGATACACCTGGGTAAATTTAACCCACATAATACCTACACTATGATAAGCTCTATGGTTGCATATGCACACAGGTACTAAGTTTTTGACAGTTAAATCAACTTAACTTTAAGTCCATGAGATTTTGCAGTCCTGTTTGTGAATGAGAGGACTGGTGGTGGCACGTCATCCAGCACACCTGGGATGATGAGCAGTGGCTGGATGGCTTCCACATGACCCGGGCTGGGCCACCTTTTGGGACTTGCTCCAGCAGCTCTGGCCCCACCTGGAGTGGCAGAACATTGGCACGTGCTCGACCCTCCCCACAGACACCCACTTGGCTCTCGTCATGCTCAAGCTGACCATGCCTGCCATCCTCCAGTATGTCAGACACCTGTTTGGCGTGGGCAAAGCCACCACCAGGGAGGCCATCCTCGAGGTGTGTGAGGCCCTCCAGGATGTGCTGGGGCATCCAGCATGGAAGTTCTCTCCCTGGTTTCCAGCATGGAAGCTCTCCAAGATGACTCTGCCCCTCCTTCTTCATGAGGACCCCTTTTATCCCCTTTTGTGACCTCATCACTAAGGTCCCACCAGGAGCAGCCCCACTGGCTGAAGTCTGGTGCTTTCAAATGACATCACTTTTCCAGGTGAGGAAGCTAGTCATATGACTTGCAGTGGCAGGGAATTCAAGACGAAGGGAGCAGGTTTCCCCCTCCCTTAGGAATGCATCTAGCTCAGGTTACACCTCAGGATTACCTGAAGTAAGGTGTGGGGAGGGCTGCCTGCCCACCTCAGTGGCCATAATAATCAAATTGACAGACAGATAATAGAACAATGGCAAGAAGAAACCTGAAGACGAGCCTGGGAAGATGCTGACAAGGCATTTTAACACAACCCTTCAGTTTGCTTGAGGTCTGTGGTGTGCAGCATCAGGGAAGTGCCTCCTGGTGGTGATGCACAATGGTGGGGTTGCACTCCCAGGTGGTGTGTGGTTGCAGAGCAGCAACCTCCCAGTCAGAGCAGCACCCCGCAGTGGCAATGAAGAGCAATCATAGCAGCAGATGAGCACTGCCTCCAGTGAGAGTGAGGAGAAACAGTGCACCAAACCAGCCCTCCCCAATGTGAGTGAGGCAAAGGGAAAGTTTGGGCTAGCAGCTGCACTGGCTCTACTGGCTACCAAGTTTATCTTGTGTGAAACTAAAAGGGAGCCCTGAACATACTTACTGTGATGAACTGTTAATAGTTGGTTGTGGTGGGCTACTGGCTATTAGGGGTTTCCTGTCTGTTGTCCCATTTTCCTTGCCCATTCAATACATCCTATTATTCTCCAATAGTGCTTCTAAGAGGTTTGATCACACTGGAACACCCAGGAAGAATTTATTTGTCTAGGTTTCTGGGTGGGGAGCTTGATCCAAAATAGGAAATTTGTGTAAAACCCTTAAATTGACCTCAGCCCTTATTACTGCTGCCCCATGCCTGGCAGAAGGGTTACACATGTAAGTACCTGAGAAACAAAGAACTATAGCTGAGTGGTTGCTATGTTGTAATAGGCACATTGGCATGTAAACTTCATTTGTAAAGAGATTCTGCCATCTCGTGGACATTTCCTTCCTGACAACATTGTGATGTCTGCCTTTGGCCACTAATGTAGAGCAGCCAGCAGTTTTACCACTCCAAAAGTTCAAAAATGATGAGATTTGCTTAAAAAAAATCATGGAACTTTTATTATTAATAGTGCATATTGGTTTCATTGTATTTTCCTCCTGCACTTTCAACCTGAAAGGATGGCACTTCCTTGTTCTCCTTCCTGCCATTATGAGAGATTGAAACCTAATCTTTTTTGTTTGTTTGTTTTTTTAATAAATTGTATGGTAGTATCCCCTGGCCATCCCAGTTCCATCTGCTGAGGCTTTAAAAATAGATGGAAAAAATAATGTATTCAATAAAAAATGATCACTGGCAACACTGAGGCTTAGTTACTCTACAAAGTTTTGCCAGCATAGCTGTGTCAGCAAAGAGTGTGATAGAATTACACAACCTATTGAGGCAGATCTGCCAGCAAAACCCATGGTGTGAAGGCTCCTTCTGTCTTGGTTTAGGCTGTGTGTTGGTTGGGGTTTTTTTTGGTGGGGGGGAGGAGTGGCATAACTAGGCTGGAAGAAAAATACTTCTGTGGGAATATGCTGTCTCCCATATTGAGGTTTCTGTCACCATAGCTCTGCCAGCCCAAATGAAATGATAAAGATTAAGAGACAGAGAGGTAGCCCTACTGATGTTATCTGTGTTTGGTGTGACAACCTTTCTGTATCCCATATAAAACAACCCCTAAGACAGTGAAACTCAACCAGGAGCTGAAAGTGTGCTCCAGAGAAAAGGGTTGGGGGGGTTCTCCATCCATATTCAGGTTGCAGTCCACTATAACCCTCAGGTCCTTTCCTGCAATACTGAAGCCTACTCATTGTTCCCCGGTTTGTACTTGTGCATCTCGTTGTTCTAGCCTAAGCTCAGAACTTGACACTTTTCCTTACTGAATTTCATGTGATTTATTTCAGACCATTTTTCCAATTCATAAAAGTTATTTTTAATTCTAATCCCATCCTCTAGTTTGTCTGCAACTCTACCCAACTTGGTGTCATCTGCAAATTTACTAAGTGTGCATTGAGTTCTAGGCTCCAAAGCATTACTTAAGAATACAAAAACACAAGGAAATTTAGGACAGACCCAACTAATAAAAAAAGGGAAAAAGTATTATATTTATCAAATAGCAGAGAATTCACATTGCTCTAGAACAGAGGTGTTCAAGATTTTGGCCCTGCTGGCTAGATGAATGATACAGGACCAGTATGCCTGCTGGATGGGACCCTTTCCCAGGGTCAGGTCCTGTGCCTCCCCTGCATGCCTGGATTGGGCTCCAGGGACCCACACTGCCTCAGCCCAGCCTCATACACCAGAAGCAGGGCTCCAGGGCCATGCACCACCTCCACCTAACCCTACATACTGGGATCATACCCCATGCTGCCCTGCATACTCAATCTATCCTACAGGGCTAGCCTGAAAGGCTCCCCACAAAGCTGAGGGCAAATGTCTCTGAAGTCTCTGTTTTTCCCCCTAGGGCACTAAATGGTGGCCCTCTCAGTCCTGTCAGTGCCTTGAGGCACCAGCTACCTTATAGGCTGCATTTGTGGCTGATGTATTTCCCCATAGCAATGCCCATGCCTCATAGAAGGTCATTTTGGAGCAGCCTCCTGGCCCCACCACAACACCTGGTCCGTTTGGTGGGGCTTCAGTCTTTCCAGCTTCAGCCCCTATTTTCTGGTTATGCTTCCGTTAGCCAAGATTCATTGCCCCAGACCTTGGCTTCTGGGACCACGACCTGTCTCACCCCTCCTGGGCAATGCACCCCTGGCCCTGGTTTCACACCTTCTTGGTCTCTAGTCCCACCCTTCTCAGGCTCTTCAGCTCCCTGGGGTCCTGGACCCAAGCAAGGCTGCTTGCTCAGTACCCAGCATCCTGACCCCAGCACTTTTTCCTGCCACAGTCAGGGCATCAGACTTGATGATCCACTGAGGTCCCTTCCAACCCTAGCACCTATGAACCTATGAATACTTATAGCCACTCTCTCTGTTAGGGGGCTGCTGGGATGCCCTGCTCCACAGTGATCTAGTCTATCCACTTCCCTGTCTATACACCTGGAGGCAGCCATGATGTCCTTTTTCCTAAGCTATGCCCTCCCTATTTCCTAGGCTTCCCAGCTGACCATGGCATGTCTGGAACATTGTCCACCTGATTCACTTATCAGCATCCCAGCTGTTTGTCCTCTATCATCAAGATGCACACAAGTGAAACTTGTCATTCCTGGTATAGACAGGTGAGACAGATGGGGACCCTGCCAACACATGGAACCCAGAAGCTGGGTAAACTGGCAGCATGCCGTGCAGATAGATGAGAGTTATCCACTTGCAAACTAACCCATGCCAAGGGGAATAGGTCAGCTGCTTGGTCTTAGCTGAGTAATCAGGGTAAGTTGGCAGTCCTAGTGACAAGACTTATGAGGTAGTGGATAAACTGTGAAGATTACCCAGTGGCTGTAGGGCTGCTTGGAAATATAAGAAGAAAATTTGAATAGGATCAACATATCCCATGGAACATGTAAAATCCACTGCATCTGTACTTCCTGACTAATTTCCACCAAAAAAAAGTTACCCAGCTCTTGAATTCTGTCTTGCTAAACTCTCAATTAAAATAATTAAATGCCTTTTTTTTTACAGTTGCTTCCTTGTTATAGTGGTGATCACCAGCTCAAAATCCTAAGGTCTCTGGGTAGGTAGTTAAATGCAGCTCAGTAAGGTCAACATTTCTGATATTTCATTACTAGTGAGTTTTTGTCACTTTTCTGTTTATACTGCTATCACATTTTTCCTTCTATGCCTGATCCAAAGTGAAGTCAACAGGAGTCTCTACATTGATTTTAGTGGGATCAGTGATATTATGCCTGTTTGTTAATGAATCTCTGGCACTGACTGCATTACCAGCATATATAAGGAACATAGTCCTGCTGATAATGTTTTAAAAGCATTTTAAACATAATTGTTCCTCAGAATGTGGTAACAGTCATGTACCACAGAAGTCCCTTTGTCCTGGTCAAAATAGTAGGCTAAAGCTGGCCTCAGGTATGTACAATAACTATTCTATAAAGTAACCCCAGTGAGATGTGATGCACAAGGGAGGAAGGCTTTGTACCTGCCTTTAGCAGACCACATCCCTAGAATGGTGATCAGGATAAAGATGTAGGAAGTGAGGATGATGGGGAGAGAGCTCATCTCCACAAAGCCAGCACAAGTGAAGAGCATAATCTCATGGATGTAGGTATTTGAGCTGGAGAGTGCCAGGAGAGGGGGCGCATCACAGAAAAAAATGATTGATGATATTGGAGTTAAAAGGATGCTGAATGTAGAACTTCTGTGTATCACAGCATTTACAGTACTGGCAGAATAGGATGCAACTATCAGCTGGATACAAACCCTTCCAGACATGATGGGCTGCAGATTGCCACCTATCAGTCATAAGTCATGGCAGTCAGGATGTATATTACTGCATTTGCAAAGACAGTAAAGGGGGGAAAAGGAAAATACAGCCTTCAAAGGAGATGTTTGCTTCTCAGATACAAAGCCTGCCAGCATTTTGAGGGCAATAACAGAAGAATAGCAGAGGTCACAGAACAACAGGCCCCTGAGGAAGGAATATATGGGGGTGTAGAGTTGGTCATCAGCTGTAATCATGAAGATCATGTTTAGGTTCCCCACCACATTCAGCACCAGGAACACCACAAAAAAGGATGGCTTGTGTGTGTGGATCTTTTGTGAACCCCAAGAGGATGAATTCAGTCACTATGGTATGATTGACCTCTGCCATTTTTCCAGTATTTTTAAAGCTCTGTAT